CCTTGTTAAAAAAACCTGCTGAAGAGTTTTTATGGCAGAAGTTGGGGCTCATCCTTGTTTAAAACAACTTGCTGAAGAGCTTTTATGGAGGAACTTGGAGTTCATCTTTGTTAAAAAAAAACCTGCTGGAGTTTTGATGGAGAAACTTGGGACTCATGCTGGTTAAAAAAAAGAAAACCTGCTGAAGAGTTTTTGTGAAGAAAAACATAGAGTCAAGATTCTCATCTCTTCCCTCATCCTGGCACCCTCGAACACCACCACAGATAAACAATCTCCACGCTGCATTCTGCTTTGGCACAACTCAGGCACAGCAAGCGATCAGAACTGCGTTCTCCCTTTCTGTGCGGCTCGGCGGACATGAATCTCAGAAATCCTGGGGCAGAACTGTCCCTGCTTTTCCCAGTGAAGGGCAGTGCAGCAGCAGACCTGCAGCAGGTTGGCGGCGGGCAGCAGGGACTCCACGGTGTCCTGCGAGATGAAGACGGTGCCGGTGTAGGCGTACTCCACGATGGCCTGCAGCGCCGCCTCGTCCACGCACTGGAACTCCACCTCGGCGTTCTCCTTCTCCGACAGGTTCCCGGTGAACATGGCCTTGAAGTAGGGGCTGATGCTGGCCAGCACCACCTTGTGCGCGTGGATCTTGGCCTCGCCCACGCGCAGCACCACGTCGCACAGCTCCTGGTGCTGCCGCAGGAGGTTGAGGCCCTGCAGGAGCTGCTCCGAGTGCAGCGGGGTCAGCTTGGCCAGCAGGAACGGCGGGGACGACGGGTCCATCTGGGACAAACACAGAGCTGTCACTTCACGGTTTGGCACACACAACAGTTAAAAGGTGTTATTCCATCTTGGCTTTTAACTTAATAAGGTTTCTTACTTCCCAATTCCCTTTTCAACCCTTACCTGCTACACTTTTTCCTGCAAGTTAAGTGCAGGACCTTCAAATGTTCATGAATAGTCTATGCTAGATTCAACTCTCAATTAAAAAAAACCCACAACCATCACTTTTTTGTTCTTCTGGAGTAAAATATCTATGATCTGATTGCTGGGATGCCTGTGCAGGGACAGGAGCTGGACTGGTGATTCCTGTGGACCCCTTCCCACTCAGGATACTCTGTGACTCTACATCAAGGGTTTGAGAGAACTGCACAGTGGCTGAAATAGAAATAAACACACATAACTAAAGAATGCAACTGGCTTATTTCAGAGGAAGTTTTAAAAGTTCTTAAACTCCTTTTGTGCAGTTCAATTCCTGCACTAAACTCCTTTTGTTCAGCTCCCTGCCTGCTTAGTGCTCCTGGGGAGCAGTTCAATTGTGCTGTGCCTTTCTCTGGCCAGGCTCTGGCAGGGAGCAGCTTCCCATTCCCATTCCCATTCCCTCTGCCAGCCACCCCCACAGAGGGGCTGGAGCAGATTCCTGTGCTGTGGATGCACAGAGGAGCACAGGAGAAAGGGGAGATCCTCACCTCACCTCACCCCGTGGCCGCCGCCGTGCCAGGAGATCCCTGCTGGGATGGGCTCAGCCTCTGGAGAGCTCAGAGCTCCCAGGTGAGCAGGGGGACAGGCTGAGCATCCCTGCTGGGATGGGCTCAGCCTCTGGAGAGCTCAGAGCTCCCAGGTGAGCAGGGGGACAGGCTGAGCAGCCGGAATCCTCAGCCCTTCCCCAGCCCTGGCAGCTGCCCACGCTCCCCAGGAGCTCCAGGAGTGCAGAACCCTCACTCCCCCGCAGAGCTGCTCTCCCCCAGGTCCCGTGCACATCGTGACACCGGAGCCCTCCCTGCCCTGATTAGAGGCACCTGCTCTAATTGCAGCTCCAGGAGCATGCCAGGCTCTTTGTTCAGCCCCCAGCGCTGCGCTGCTGAGAGGTGCAGGGTAGGAACGTGTCAGGATCCCGGGCCACGGGGAGAGAATCCCATTGTTCTCCTGGGAACAACCCCCCCACTCCCGAGGAGAGCAGCTTTTGATTTGCTAAATGATCTCTGCAAGATCTCTCTTCTTTTGTCTTCATTGTAAGTTCATCATTTGCACAGCTCCTTAAATGACACCTCACTTGCAGGTGAGCCCACTTAAAAGTGCTCAATTTGAAATAATCAACGTTTAAATAGAGAATACAATAGCAGTGACAGGGAAGGGAAGGGGCTGAAAAACCTCTTACCCACAAAGAGATAAATAAGCTCTCCTATTTTCACTCTTCACTGGAAAAAATAACCAAAATAAACTAATTTAAGTGCATCTGCAAAAGGCAAGATCAGAGACAATGTTTTCCCATTACAATTTTGCAGCACAAATTATCCATGGAAGAATTTAAAAAATTTAAAATAATAAAAAAAGCAGCTAAAAGAATTTATTCCCCTTTTGTGTTTGTGTTCAGTTCCTAGTTTGATCATACAAACACACAAAAATCAGGAAACACAAGGCACCACCACGTGGAAAAAGGAGTGGTCCCAGTTCAGCTGCAAAACCTGCCCAAACACCTATAAATAACCATATTTCAGGTATTCTGCAGCAATAAAGCTTCATGTACCAGGCTGGTAGAACCTCTCCCCGCCCTGCATGGCCAGGCTCACCCACACCACGGATCTGCTGTTATTTATTTCACTTTTTAGCAAGAAATCAGCAGCTGGAACGTGAAGCAGCCCTGGAATTGCATCCCAGCCCAGCGATCCGTGCTCAGGACACCAAACGGCCACCCCCGGGCTCCGGGCTGTCAGAGCCTCCCAGCCTGTGCCTCAGACTCATCTCCAGCCGCAGCAGGGACTGGAAACAAAGGGGTTAACCTCAGGGCAACAGCTGAGGAGCAGCACGGGAGGTGCGGGCTCTGCCCTGCCCCGAGCCAGGGTTTGGGACGGGCAGGGCAGAGCCGGGCTGGCTCCGAGACTGCGGGAGAGCAGCAGCCCGAGCCGGCTGAGCGCCATCGGCACCGGGAGAGACACGGCACGGGCTGCCCGCTGCTGGCACTGCTGGGAGTGCTGCTGCTGCTGCCCGGCTTCTGCCCTGCTGCTGCCCGGCTTCTGGAACTGCTGCTGCTGCCCTGCTGCTGGCATTGCTGCTGGCATTGCTGCTGCTGCCCCACTGCTGCTCTCCCACTTCTGGCACTGCTGCTGCTGCCCGTTTCTGGAATCGCTGCTCTCCCACTTCTGGAACTGCTGCTTTCTCAGTTCTGGAATTCCTGCTCTCCCACTGCTGTAATTGCTGCTCTCCCACTGCTGGCACTGCTGGCTGGTGCCCTGCTGCCGCCCGCCTTCTGGAATTGCTGCTGCTGCTGCCCGGCTTCTGGAATTGCTGCTGCTGCCCCACTGCTGCTGCTGCCCTGCTGCTGCCCCACTGCTGGCACTGCTACTGCTGCTGCTGCTGCCCGGTTCTGGAATTCCTGCTCTCCCACTGCTGTAATTGCTGCTCTCCCACTGCTGGCACTGCTGCCCTCCCTCTGCAGGAATCGCTGCTCTCCCCATGGCCGTGCCTCACCCGGTGCCCCGGCTCCGCTCTCGGCCGGGCACAGGGCCGGCTCCCGGAGCACGCTGGGCTCCCGGTGTCCCTGCCCGGGGTCCCTTCCAGCCCACAGCGCTCCGGGTCCCTGCGGCTCCGCCACTCTCCCGGTGCCGGGCGGGCCCCCCGCGCAGCCGCTCCCGCTGCATCCGCACCCCGCCCGGGGACACGGCACCGCCGGGAGGCGGCACCGCGGCTGTGTCCGGGCCGTGTCCGGGCCGTGTCGCGCCGTCCCCGCTCTCACCTGTGCCGGGGTGCCCCAGGCCCGGCCCGGCCCGGCCGCGCCGCCGCCTCGTTCCGCCGCTCCGCCACCGCCCGCTCCGTCACTTCCGGCCGCCCCGCCCCGCGCGCCCCGCCAATCAACGGCCGCGCCGCCGCACACACCCACACCCGCCGGTCCCCGGGCGGTACCACACAGCGCACCGCGCGGGGGGCACGCCGCGGTTTCGCTTCCCCAGAGGTTCTGCTTCACTCCATCCCCGCCGCTCGCGCGACGCTGCTCTCCGTTTCTTCGCCACAGCGCCCGCGTCCCGTCCCGCCAGCAGCGGCCTGAGGAGAAGTAGCGGAGGTACGCGTGTCCCCCCCCCGCTCGCCGCGGCGTGGTCGGCCCCGCGCCGGCGCGGCACGCGACGCCCCCTGGCGACGGCGGCGTTGCTGGGCGGGGCCTGAGGGCCGCCCATGGCCGCGGCCTCGGGCCATGGCGGAGCCGCCGCCCGGAGCCGCCGCTCCGCGGGGCCGCGGCCGGGCCTGGGAGCGCGGCGGCTCCGCGCAGGGCGGTGAGGACGGCACGGAGCCCTCCGGCCCCGCTCACAACGGTCCGGGCACGGCGCCCTGCGGCCCCGCTCACAACGGTTCGGACTCGCATCCCCCTGGCCCCGCTTTGAACGGTTCGGGCACGGATGTTCCCGGCCCCACTCACGACGGTTCGGACACGGAGCCCCCCGGTCCCGCTGAGGACGGGCCGGGCACGGAGCTCCCCGGCCATGCTCACAACGGCTCGGGCACGGAGGCTCCCGGCCCGCAGGAAGACACGGAGCTCTGCAGCCCCGCTGAGGACGGGCCGGGCACGGAGCCCCGCGGCCCCGCTGAGGACGGGCCGGGCACGGAGCTCCGCGGCCCCGCTGAGGACGGGCCGGGCACGGAGCTCCGCGGCCCCGCTGAGGACGGGCCGGGCACGGAGCCCGGCTGCTGCTGCGGCTGATGGCGGCGGCCGGCCCGCGGCCCGTGCTGCGCCTGCTGCTGCAGGAGCGGCTGCTGCGGCACCGCAGCGCCCGGCTCCGCGAGGAGCTGCTCAACACGTGCATCGCCGCGCTGCTCGCCTACCCCGCCGCCGAGCTGGACCTGCCCCAGCTGGCGGCCGCCCTGGCGCCGGCGCTGCTGGACGCCAAGCGCAGGGTCCGGCACGCTGCCATGGAGGCGTTCGCCGCGCTGGCCTCGGCCCTGGGTCCCGGCAACGCGGGCGCGCTGCTCCGCGCCCTGGACGCGGTGGAGCTGCGGGCCGGCGGCGCGGGGGTGGCGCACGCCGTGCGGGCCCGCCTGGCCAGGAAGGTGCTGCCCAGGCTGGGCGAGCAGGGGCTCGTGGAGTACGGCGTGCCCTTGCCCTCGTCCGGCCACTGCCGCGGGCCCTGCCCGCCGCCCGGCGCCGACACCGAGTGGCTGCTGATGGGCAGCAGGAGCCGGAGCGCGCACGGGCTCTGCGCGCACCCCGGCGATGCGCTGCACGGCCCCGCCTGTGCCCAGCGGGGACTGAGCCCCAGGAGGGTCCTGAGCGCCGGCAGAGGCAAAAGCAAGCTGCCCTGGGAGAACGAGCCGGCTGCGGACAGGGAAGGTGGCTCGGGGGTGAGGATGCCCGTCGCGAAGGGTGTGGAGCAGGTATGTAACTCCCTGGGTGCCTGTGTGCTTAAGGCGTTCCCAAAGGGAGGATGGAGAGGTGTCAGGGGCTTGTTAAGTGATGTTTGGGAGGTATGGCTGCTGTTTTATGGGTCTGTACACTCAGATCGCTCTGGGAAGGTAAATTTGGGAATTCCTTATGCCAGATTCAGCCAAGCAATTTACCAGACTACTTATTGCTTACAACAAAAAATATGAATCTTTTTATGAGGTTAGCTGGACTAGCTGAGACACTCCTTAGGTCTGACAGTAGTGACTTGACTCTGACATGTCAGCAATGGCAGGTGAACCACTGGGAATGAGCAAAACTGGGGAAAACAGCCTTTATTTGTATGTTTGTGTTTGAAGGTGTGGGACTGACTGCAGAGAGTTTCCTGTTGGGGGGAAAACTGAGCAAGTCCTTCAGCTCAGGCTCTGAAGGCAGAGCTGCGGGATGGGGCCGAGCCAGGGCTCTTCGGGATAAACCTGCTGGCTGCCAAGTGCCTGTGTGGCTCTTGCTCTTTGGGCTGATCCAACCAGGAAAAATGTAGGTCAGGCTGGAATAAGGATTCTGGCTGAGTTTGGGTGTAATCACCTACTGACCACGTCAGCAGCTGGAAAGGGGAGGAACCTCTGGAAAACTGTCCAGGTTCCTTTTGCTTTGCCAGTGTTTTGGATCCCACAGGTGGTTGTGTCTCTGTGAGGTGGTTTTTCTGTTGTGTTACGGTTTTTTTTAAAGTGGACACATTTGATTTACCATAACTTCATCTCCTGTGAGGGAGCTGAAGCAAACAGAGCTCCTCAGGAAATGAGAGGCTGTGCAGAGCAGATTCCTCAGTGCCACATTTGCGTACTCAGATTTTAATTCTCAGTTGCTTGGTAACTTGTTGCTGGGCTGGATGAGGTCATGGACAGTGAGTGCTCCTCTGCAGCCTGGCTCTGGGGCAGGCTCTTAACCAAATAAACTCAGTTCATGTTTCTGTACTGTCAAACCTTGGAGGTCATGCCTAGACTTGAATGCTCATCTCTTTCCTTGGTGCCTGTGTTACCTCTCCCGAGGCTCCTACAGACATCTGTGTCTTCCTGAGCTGCTGAATCAGTTCCCTTGGGATATCTGCAGCAAGGGTTGAGACAACAAGATGTGTAGGAAACACCTCTGGAACAATAAGGGTTTCCTTTTTGGAACAGTTTTTCAGTATTAATTAATACAGCTTGTAAAAAAACCCCACAAAAACCAGTGCCAGTGTTCTGCTGGGAGGTTGGGCCAAGCTCTGCTGGTTTCCTGCAGCTGTGAACAAAAAGCAAGTTAATACAGGCACCAACACCTGGCTGGGGCTTGGAAAGGAGGAACATTCCCTGCCTGGGACAGCCCCTCTCCAGGGAAGTCAGGGAGGGGCTCTGTCCTTTTCTGAGAGGAAGGAACCCTCTGTACATGTGGTTGTGTTTATCTCTGTAACGTGGGAGGAGATGCCAGCCCTGCAGAGAGGGAGAGAAAGCAAGGAGCTTATGGGTTCTGTTTGGTTTGAAGGTGTGTGAAATGTCTTTGGAGAAGGTGTAAATCACCAGTTCCTGGAACGGTTTGGGTGGGAAGGGACCTCAGATCCCACCAGAGCCACCCCTGCCATGGCAGGGACACCTCCCACTGTCCCAGGGTGTCCCAGTGTCCAGCCTGGCCTTGGGCACTGCCAGGGATCCAGGGGCAGCCACAGCTGCTCTGGCAATTCCAGCCCAGCCAGCAATTCCCAGTTCCCAATCTCCCATCCATCCCTGCCCTCTGGCAGTGGGAACCCGATTGGGCACAGGATGAATTGGAGTCCAGGTCCAGTTACTGTAACGGAAACTTAAAACACTGGGGAGGTTTAATGGTGGAGTATTTACCTGGCTGCTGTAGTTGACACCTTTGCTGCTCCTTCTTCACATCCTGATCCTTTGTCTCATCACATCTGACTGAAGACTGGGGCAGGGGACACTGTCCTGTGATGCTGGTGACCAGAGGGAGCAGCTGGAGCTGGGCCAGGGCAGGTCAGGCTGGAGCTCAGGAAAGGCTCTTATCCAGAGGGGGCTGGCACTGCCCAGGCTCCCCAGGAATGGGCACGGCCCCAGGCTGCCAGAGCTCCAGGAGCTGCCAGGGATGCCCAGGGTGGGATTGCTGGGGGTCTGGGATGATCCCTGTGGGTCCCTCCAGCTCAGGACATTCCATGGATCTGTCGTGGATGCAGGGAGGTGAATTGTGTTTTCAGTCTGGGAGTGCAAAGCTGGCTGGTGTTCCCTGGGCTGAAGACATTCCAGGGGCTGTGTGTCAAGCTGCTGTCCCTCCAGCAATCAGCATCTGTGTGGGGAGTTAGCAGCTGCCCTTAGCTCCCCCAGTAAGGAAAATGCATTTATCATGCCTAAATCTCAGGCAGTCGACTGGTTTCTGGACATGTCAAATATTAATTATTAATTCAGACATTCCTTTGAAATGAATTTGCTTAAAAATTAACTTTTGGAGTCATTCTGTGGCTGAAAGGATGCATAGAAGTAGCTTAATGTTTAAAGCTGTTTCCCTGCCAGTATTTTTAGGGTCATGTTACAGGGTGGCTGTCCAAGGCTGTGTCTAGACTTTCCTGATCAGATAAGGTGTGAGTAAAACATGTGTAAGTTAATGTGTACTAAAAAGGAAAGGTAGATAAGGCACATGGACCTCAGGGGTTTGTCTGGCAGCCTCTGCAGAGCTGTGGGTTCTCCATCCCTGGAGCTGTTCAGGTGTTCAAGGGCAGGTTGGAATATTGAATATTGCAGGGTGAGAGCTACCCCTGGGACACACAGAGCCTGCAGGCCCCTCCCTGCTGCTGAAGGTACCTTTGGGTGCCCAGAGGGTCCTTTTGGGGGAAAGAGGAGCATTTGAACATTTCACTGGGCATTCAAGGCCTTTCACAAAGTTCATGTGAACTCTGGGATCTCCCCCTACTTTGTGTGGAAATCTTCTCATTTCCATATTGATGTGCTAACTGGAGAAACTGATAGCTGGGCTTTGTGGAGTGTTCAGATGACCTGGGAAATGGAAATCTGATTTATGGAACAAAACCTCTTTGTTTTCCAAAGGTCAGAGGGGCACAGAGGCTGAGCAGTGTGTGGGATAAAGGTGTCCCTTCCTTGGGTGTCCTCCTGGGACCTGAGCCCTGCTTTTTCTGGAGCTGGGAGAGGATTTTGGGGAGATGTTGTTGTGTCTTTGTGTGGTGTTGGTCTCTTTCTGGGACAACACTGCTGATGCTGCTGGTGTTGGATTAGGAGCACCGTGGTGGCACAGCTCCACAGGGAAGGGATGCAGGGAGGGAATGTTTGCTGTGATTCCAGCTTGGACACTGGGGCTTGGAGCAGCCTGGGCCAGTGGATAGGATGGGATGGGATGGGATGGCATTTAAGATCCCTTTCCACCCAAACCATTCCAGGATTCCATCATGGGTCACTCTCAAGGGCTGTGCTTTGATAACCAAGTTACCAATTCCTGTGGTGGATGGATTCAGGTATTTTCCAACATTTGTGGAATTTAAAGGAATCTGAACCCTTTTGAGAAATCCCTTTGCTAGGATTTGTTATCCCAGGGGAAGCATCTGGCAGCTGTGGGTTTGCTGTATTTCCCACCTCCTCCAAGCCTGTGTTCAGTGAATTTGCAATGCTGTAATTATAATTTGGGTACAGGGAAGCAGAGTTTTCACTCCTGGAGCTGGGATGGGAACAGCTGAGAGAAGCTGTACAGTCATGGCAGTGTTGGAATTTACTCCTTCTGCATATGTGGCTTTGTCTGTATGGGAAAATGGGATGGAAGTTTATCCTGTACCAGCTCCTGAGCAGAAAATTCCCTCTCTCCCAGCTGAAACCAGGCTGGGGTGGTTTGTACAAGGAGTGTTTCATTAGGGACTGAAGGATCTGTGGATGGAATGATGTTTGGTGATTGCCTTGGGAATGCCAAGGTCTCACATCTTTTATCCCAACTTGTATTAACCTGGAATAAACCACTTCAGCATTTTCCTGCTCTTCTTTTCCTCTTGTGTCCCTCAGAAGGGAGAGGAAAGTAAATACAGCTTGGGAATGATTTAAATCACTGATTTTGCTAATTAAATCAGAATCTATTTAAAGCATGACCTTTTCTTTGTTAAATATTGACATTATTGAGATTTTCTCCCTACCTGTAGCCAGTAAAAGCTGCTGGTGTTGCCAGGTGCAGTTTTTGACTGAAGTATGTGGTTTGCAAAGATCTGGAGTGTGTGCTTGTTCCATTCTGGGATTTTGGGGTTCTGTTGTCTATTTAAACACTTCCCCATCTAAACCACATAATTCAAATGGCCAATGTTTAGTTTTTAAAATTTAATTTTTAAAATAGTTCAGTTCTTTGTCAGTGTATTTTGCTGGGGTTTTATTTCCCTTTCAGTGTGAGTAGTTTTAACCTGTATTTTAGTAAGACCTGCAAAACAGCTAAAATACTTCTTAATGCTTAAAAGATGTGAATGTTGGGTAGGTGGGAAAGTAAAGCTTGTGTGGGAATGTTGGTAGCTGTGCTGTTTGCCCAGAGCAGGGCTGTGCTTTCATTTCACACAGTTTATTTTGCTGTTTTTCCCTGCAATGATTCCCTGCACTCCCCGAAGCTGCGGCCCTCGCAGGGGATCCCAGGCAGTGGTGAGCTGCTTTTCAGCAGGAGCAGAGCTTCCAGGACTTTATTCCAGCCCGCTGTGGAGCTGACCTCTGAGCACTCTGCCCTTGGTGCTGGTGAGTGGGGCACAGGGACGTGCTGCAGCTGCCAAGGCAAGACAGATTTTAGTGTTCCAGTGTGGGAAATGAATTTGTAGAGAAGAAACCCATCACAGTATGGGAGAAGAGACGTGTTGTCCCAGTGGGGAGCAAAGGTAGAAGTGGGTTTTTGATGGAAACCACAACTCCTCCCACTCTGAAGTTATCTTAGAAAACCAATCAGCCAATTTGGATTGATCAGTGGCTTCTTGAAAAAATTGAATGCTCTGAAAAAATTAGTAAATGAACAACTACAAAAAGGCCACATTAAACCTATGAAGAGTCCCTAGAATTCCCCAGCTTTTGTCATTCAAAGAAGACTTCTGATTCCTAGAGATTACTCCATGACCTGGAGAAGATCAATGAAATCACAGAGGACGTGGGGCATTTGCAAGCTGGACTTGCTTCTCTTGGAGTGATTCCCAGAGACTGGCCTCTTGTTGTCTGGCACATTCCAGCAGCCAGAAGGGTCTGCAAAGCCTGGGCAAGACCAGACCTGAGGGAGGCCCTGGGCTCTGTCCTTGTCCCCTCTGGGGAGTCCTGGCCTTGCCAAGTTTGCTCCCTTGGGTTTTAAGGTGTTTGCTGCCCCTCACTGTCACACACTCAAAGAGGGGATTGTTCCAGGGGGTTCTTTTGCCCCCGTGCAATTCCCAGCTGGAGCAGTGCCCTGGAAGAGCAGCCAGTCCTTTTCCCTTTTTCTCTCTGAGCTGCTTTTTGAGGTTGCTTAGAGACTCTGGAATGAAGTACTTGGAGTGTGAGTTTCCCACTCAGAGCTACACAGAGTCTGCATTCCGTGTGAAATATTATTGGATATTCTCTGTTGGACACCACGTGTGAATATTGATTTGGTTCTTTGTGTTCTTTTTTGCAAGGTGCTCTGGGCTCTCATCAGCCCCAGATTTCAGGGAAATGTGGCACACTTGGATACCCACGTGGGAGGAGTGGCAGTGTGGGCTCTGATTTGCAGTTTTTGGGACTGAATAACTGGCAGCAGGACAAAGGTAGGTGGCTTCTCCAGTGGCCCAAGGCAGGGCATGTCACTTTGGAGCTGTCTCTTTGTTCCTTTGCTTCCCCAAGAAATGGAAACTGTTACTGAAAGGTTGGTCAGGCCCCGTCCAGATGGCTCCTCCTTCCTGTGAGAGTTAATTAGTGGCTGTTAATTCACAGCCCCACCTTTGATCTCCGGCTGTGTCAGGCTGTTAGAGAAAAGGAGCTGCTGTGGGAGGATCACAGCAGTGTTTGATCTACTTGCATCACTGTGTGTTTTAGATGCAGCTCTCCAAAACATGCCTGAGAAATCGTTTTAAGGCTTAAACTCACGTGTGGAGGGGTATGCAGTTTGCAGAATGAAGCTGGTTGATTGGTCTGCTTGCTTGGGCAAAACCTTCAGGCTCTGACTGCCTAGTGGTGCATTATTTCATGGGGAATTAATAATTTCTCATGATAGATTATTTCATTGGAAATAATAGTAATATTGAAATAATAATATGAAATAATAATGATAAATAATGATAGATTGTTTCATTGGAAATTATTTTTATGGTGCATTATTTCACTGGAAATCATTCTTATGGTATATTATTTAATGATAAATTCTTATTACAAGACCCAGTTACCACAAGCCCTGTTCTCTTTTCTCAGTTTGTTCCAGCCTCAGCTTTTCCAGCAAGACCCAAAGAAGTTTTTGCACTCAGGCAGAGCCCACCATGTCCTTCCAAGGTCCCAGTGCCAGCCAGGGCACCTTCATCCTGCCCTCCTTCCCCCTGTCATCCCCCAGGAACAGCCCCAAGCACCTCTCTGCTCCTGCTGCCTCTGCAGGGAAGTCCCAGGAGGATCCCAGGAGCCTCTCCAGCTCCTGGCCTCTCAAAAGCTTCCAGGGGCTGCCTAAGCCTGGTGGCCAGAAGCAGCTGCTCAGCCAAAAGCCAGGAGACAGCACAGGTGGGAACTGTCTCAGTGTGATAAAAAGGGATTTGGGGGTTGTATTTTGAGGGATCTTTCAGTGGTCAGAAAATCCACAGTGGCAGATGAGAGGGAATTGGGCAGTGCCTCAGGTGCAGTTAGGAATGGGAGGGATTTATTGATTTATTTACTTATTCACTTAGGGTTTCACTGCTCACATCCCTGCAGGCTTCTCTTCACAAGTGGAGCCTTTGGATTTGTCATAAAGCAAAATATCTACAGCTCTGCTTTTCTTAATGTCTCAGGGCAAGGGCTGTCTTCCAACTCAAATAAACCCCAAAATGGAGCACTTTTAGGGAAAGTCTGTGCAGAAATACCTGTTGCTGTTCAAACCCTAATTAATCCATGTGCAAGAGAAGGGTTACTCAGTGCATTTTGCCTTTTTGCCTCTTCATTTGAATCATGGAATCCCAGAATGGTCTGGGTTGGAAGAGATCTTAAAACTCATCCAGTTCCACCCCCCTGGGTAAAAATACCTTTACTCTCTGTTTAGGTTAAACTGCTTCCTAATCACTCAGGAGGTTTCTGAGACAAAGTAACAGTTTCCACACAAAATTTTGCACTGATTAAAGAAATCTGTTTGAAATTTCATCTTCACTGAGACCCATATTTTTGTGCGTATATAGAAAATTTCCAACTGAATGCTTTGGGAATTTCCTGCCCCTGGAATGGGACTCTGCCTTGTAGATGTATTTATTGCTTGCTTTATTATTGTATTTATTATTTGTGATTGTATTTATCACTTACCACATGTTTTCCATTTGCATTTTGATTTTTCTCTGGTTCTTTGGAGTACCTTTGTTGTTATAGCACCTTCCATGGAAGTTTGTGGATGAGTGTTTTTCTCTTAATGAAAGAAGTTAATTGCTTTTTAAAGGGACTAAGGGCACGTGCATGGACTTTGGTGATCCTTGTGTCCCTTCCAGCTGAGGATATTTTGATTCTATGTTGGTGTGCACATGCATGAAACACTCATTTATATTTTCCTAAAGGAAGGAGGCACTAAAAGTGGAATAAACTGATACCTGAGCCTGCACAAGTGTGTTTTTAACACTCATTCCGTGGCAGAAGGACTTTTATAGACACAGAAGTGAGAGGTGAAGCTTGTCCTGGCGCTGTCCCTGACAGTCCCTGTGTGTTCCAGGGGACAGCCCGCTGGAGAAGCCCCCCCTGCAGCTGGAGAAGCATTCCCTGCAGCTGGAGAAGCCCCCCCTGCAGCTGAGGGCTGCCCTGGGCAGGGCCCAGGGGCTGCGGGGGGCCCGGCCCGTGCCCCCCATCCCGCGCCTGCCCAGCCCCCGGGAGCCCCCTGGCAGCAGGGAGGGCACGGAGCTGGCAGCAGGGCTGGCAGAGCTGCACCTGGAGCCCGAGGAGGTGGACCAAGAAGAGGTGGGTGAAATGGGATGAATGCACTTTGGTCAGTGTTCCCCATCCCTGGAAGCGTCCCGGGCTTGGAGCAGCCTGGGCTGGTGGAAGGTGTCCCTGCTGTGGGACAAGGTGAGCTTCAGGGTTCCTTCCATCCCAAACCAGTCTGGGATTCTGTGACTTGCTGGCTTTGCCTTTCTCTTTGTACCTTCCGTGCTCTGCTTCCCACTGAAAGGAACCTGGGGTGTTAAACAGAGGAGGAATTTCTAACAAGAAAAATACTCAGCCAAAAGAGGGGAGAATGCTGCAGCATTAAACTCTAATAATTACAGATTTTCCTGCTCATTTGAGTAGGATGTCTGCTTGCTGGGCACTGATTGCATGATTTAGAGGAGGTTTAGGTGGGATATTGGGAAGGAATTCCTGGCTGGGAGGGTCTGGGATGACTTCCCAGAGCAGCTGTGGCTGCCCCTGGATCCCTGGCAGTGCCCAAGGCCAGGTTGGACACTGGGACACCCTGGGACAGTGGGAGGTGTCCCTGCCATGGCAGGGGTGGGATGGGATGATCCTTAAGGTCCTTTCCAAGCTGTTCCACAGTTCTGTTTTTAGGATGTGCAGATTTGCTGGGAAAAGCCTGAGGTGTGCTGGCAGCCATCAAAGCCCTCCTTAACCCACTGAAAGGCACAGAGCAGTTGGTGTGTTCCAGCAGGAGCCTGTCCCTGTGCTCTGCAGGGGAAGCTGGGCTGCAGCACTGCTGTGAGGCTGTGCTTGCTCACAGGACAATTGTTCTTGTGAGATAAAACAGGCAGCACTGACAGCACCAGAGGACACAGCCTTAAGCTGCACCAAGGGAAATTTAGGCTGGATATTAGCAAAAAGTTCTTTATGGAAAAAGTGGAACAGTAGTGGAATTGCCTGCCCAGGGAGGTGGTTTTAAACCATCTCTGGATGTATTTAAAAACAGCCTGGATGTGGCACTGGGTGCCAGGGTTGAGTTGAGGTGTTTGGGCTGGCTTGGACTCGATGATCTTGTAGGTCTCTTCCAACCTGGTGACTCTGTGAATTCTGTGTCCCTGACACATTACCCCTCTCTGGGTGTCACAAAGAATTTGCTGAATCACTTGTAGGTCTCTTCCAACCCAGTGATTCTGTGTGAAACCAGGAGAGGGATCATTATAATCCCCCAAAAACCGTGTGAGTGGTGCTCACACTGCCCACTGGGCCTTCAGCACCCCATGGCCTGGGCTGAACTCTCAGAAATAGACTTTATTTAGCTGAAAAAACCTTTTCCCTGTGCAGTGAGTGCCCCTGTCATTTTTCCCTATCCAGATGCAGAATTCCTGAAGGCATTTTTATTTCTCTGAAATCCTTTTCCCTGTGCAGTGAGTGCCCCTGGCATTTTTCCCTATCCAGATGCAGAATTCCTGAAGGCATTTTTATTTCTCTGAAATCCTTTTCCCTGTGCAGTGAGTGCCCCTGGCATTTTTCCCTATCCAGATGCAGAATTCCTGAAGGCATTTTTATTTCTCTGAAATCCTTTTCCCTGTGCAGTGAGTGCCCCTGGCATTTTTCCCTATCCAGATGCAGAATTCCTGAAGGCATTTTTATTTCTCTGAAATCCTTTTCCCTGTGCAGTGAGTGCCCCTGGCATTTTTCCCTATCCAGATGCAGAATTCCTGAAGGCATTTTTATTTCTCTGAAATCCTTTTCCCTGTGCAGTGAGTGCCCCTGGCATTTTTCCCTATCCAGATGCAGAATTCCTGAAGGCATTTTTATTTCTCTGAAATCCTTTTCCCTGTGCAGTGAGTGCCCCTGGCATTTTTCCCTATCCAGATGCAGAATTCCTGAAGGCATTTTTATTTCTCTGAAATCCTTTTCCCTGTGCAGTGAGTGCCCCTGGCATTTTTCCCTATCCAGATGCAGAATTCCTGAAGGCATTTTTATTTCTCTGAAATCCTTTTCCCTGTGCAGTGAGTGCCCCTGGCATTTTTCCCTATCCAGATGCAGAATTCCTGAAGGCATTTTTATTTCTCTGAAATCCTTTTCCCTGTGCAGTGAGTGCCCCTGGCATTTTTCCCTATCCAGATGCAGAATTCCTGAAGGCATTTTTATTTCTCTGAAATCCTTTTCCCTGTGCAGTGAGTGCCCCTGGCATTTTTCCCTATCCAGATGCAGAATTCCTGAAGGCATTTTTATTTCTCTGAAATCCTTTTCCCTGTGCAGTGAGTGCCCCTGGCATTTTTCCCTATCCAGATGCAGAATTCCTGAAGGCATTTTTATTTCTCTGAAATCCTTTTCCCTGTGCAGTGAGTGCCCCTGGCATTTTTCCCTATCCAGATGCAGAATTCCTGAAGGCATTTTTATTTCTCTGAAATCCTTTTCCCTGTGCAGTGAGTGCCCCTGGCATTTTTCCCTATCCAGATGCAGAATTCCTGAAGGCATTTTTATTTCTCTGAAATCCTTTTCCCTGTGCAGTGAGTGCCCCTGGCATTTTTCCCTATCCAGATGCAGAATTCCTGAAGGCATTTTTATTTCTCTGAAATCCTTTTCCCTGTGCAGTGAGTGCCCCTGGCATTTTTCCCTATCCAGATGCAGAATTCCTGAAGGCATTTTTATTTCTCTGAAATCCTTTTCCCTGTGCAGTGAGTGCCCCTGGCATTTTTCCCTATCCAGATGCAGAATTCCTGAAGGCATTTTTATTTCTCTGAAATCCTTTTCCCTGGGCAGTGATTCCCCCTGTCATTTCCCCATCCAGATGCAGAATTCCCTGAGGTCCCTGCGGAGCAGCGCCGCCAAGAAGAGGGCAAAGCTGAGCAGCAGCATGGCGGAGCTGGAGAGCCCCGACTCTGCGGTGAAACTGGAATTTCCCGGGGACTGCCCCTCCCTGGGCTCCTCTCCCGGCGCCGCCTCCACCGGCGAGAGCGGAATTTCCAGCCAGGAGTCCCTGGGCTCCCCCGTGGCCGCGCTGCCCCCCAGGAGGAGAGTGATGTGAGTGTCACTTGGTGTCACCTCAGCCTGGGGACCTCCACGCAGCCTTAGTTAAATCGTGATATTAACTGCCACGTGTTTATATAGGATTGCCTTGCTTAACAGCCTGATTTTTCTGTGTGGATTATGTTCCTCTCTAAAATGGCAAGAGCTGCTTAATGATGTTATTCTATTTTTTTCTGGCTTCCAGCGTGAAGCTGCAGTAGGCCAGGGCAGGGAGCAGGGCCAGGGGCAGTAAATATCTGATAAAGATGTTCCCTGGCACTGCAGGAGCATGGCCAGAAGTGAACAGAGGAGTGAGAAGGACAAGAGTGAAGAGGAAGGATGAGGTTGGGTTATTACAGCCTGGAAGTTGAATTGGGTTTGTTGAGAGGAAGACAATACAGATGTTTCTTATTGTGGATCAAGAGCTGGTTCCATTTATTCCTGTGAGATAATTGTGAATTTAAAATGCCTTCCCAGAGCACTTCTAAATAGAAATTGGGTGGTTACAAATGCTGCTCTGATTGTAAAGTGCAATAACGCAGTTGGTTATGAGCAGTATAAACTATTGTTTAATGGAATAAAAAGAGTTCTGAGGAATTCTGCAAATTTTCCAGTCCAAAAATCTCCTCCTCTGCTCTCAGAGTCCATGATGAAGCTCTTTGTAGCTCTGTTCTGAAGATATTTTTGTGTGTGCTAAAAGCATCTTTTATAGACTCCCAGAGTGGTTTGAGTTGGAAGTGACCTGAAAAATCACCTAATTCCAGCCCTGCCATGAGCAGGGAACCTTCCATGTAGCTGACATTCTGTTGTGAATGCAGTTCAAAGCAAAAGGGGGAACATAAAAAGCAAAGGGATTTGAGGCAGAAGGAGCCTGCAGTGATTCACAAACAGAAGGTTTTCAGTGGTTCAGCCCAGAACTAATTCATATTCACATCCCTTCCCCGTGTGCATCACTGCTGAATCACATTTTTAAAAAGAATCTTTCAAATGCCACATTCAAATGTGTAATGCCTCAGAAGTCAAGAGGAGCCCTGGGTGTGCTGGTTTGGGCTGGGCCAGGCTCTGTAAGGCATGGCCATGTCCATTACCCAGTGCTTGGTACTCCATCCTCAGCCACAGCAGTTGTGAGCCAGCCAGGAGGACAGGGGACACCTGGCAGTCACCCTGACCTGGGAGAAGTGACAGAGTCCCTCCCAGGTGCCACTGAAAGCCTTGGAATGCTCCAAGAATGCCAGGGAGTTGAGCTCAGGGGGTTTGTGAGCGCTGGCACAAACTGGCATTGTCAGTTCCCACAGTCTGTGCCTGGGCACCAGGAGTGGGGTTTTGGGGTGCTTGCTTTGGGGAGGGCTTGGTTTGTCTGCTGATAAAGTGCCATGGCTGATGGGATACAGGAATCAGGGACATTCCTGGAGCATGGGCCTTCCCTTGGAGCTCCAAAGAGTCACAGTTGTGGGTGTTGCACAGGCTCTGGGTTCCATCGTCTTTCATATCCAGAGAACCATGTGAAATTTAAAAGAATTTCAATTATTCCAGTAGATAAGAGCACTTTCCTGGAGAATGTCTCTGCTGGGTACTGAGCTGGGAGCAGCTCATCCCTGCTGTGGCAGGAGGATTTGGTCATTCTCCTTGGCCAGGTTGGAGCCAGCATCATCAGTGCCCAGGCCAAACAATTCCTTACTTTATGGCTGTATCCTAAATGTAGCCCAGTGTAAGGTTTCCTCATTAGGGTTTGCTTTAGGGTGTTCTTCATAATGGACCTGCTCATCAAATAATTCCCACTGAATTCTCTTTCTGCTCAGTGTGAACATTTGTGGGAACACTGGAGATAGTTTTGCCATGGAGAAACTGAAATCTGTGGTTGTTTCTGGCTGGGCTTTGACCATTGTGGAGAATTGCACCTATAAAATCTGTTTATCTGAACAGGTCAGACACTTTTCCTGCACTTGGCAGCAAATCCCATCCTGCAAAGCCATCTCCAGCAAGGCCCAGAGACACAGAGGGGGCAGAGCATCCCTCCAGCACAGGTATGTTCCTGTCAGAACTCACCTGAGGGGCCAGAATGAGCCCCCATCCCTCAGCTCTTACCAAAGACAGCTTGCAGCTGCTCTGGGGCCACACGGGGATTTCAGGCTGCTCACGTGAGGAGTTGCAGGCTTGCCAGCAGCTCATTTCCTGTGGGAATTGAGGTGAAGTGCTGCTGGAGTGTTTCACCCTCCCAGGGCACTACAGGTGAACTGTGGGGGATTGTCTTCAATCAGTTCTGGTTCTGCTGGGTGGAGGAAAGTTGCTGAGGGAGCTGTGTCCACAGGCTTTCTCCATGTCCTGTCCTTCTCCAGCTCTTCTGGAGCCCCTCCAGGCCCTGCCAGGGGCTCTGAGCTCTCCCTGGAGCCTTCTCCTCTCCAGGGAACATTCCCAGCTCTCCCAGCCTGGCTCCAGGCTCCTGTCAGTGGGATGTGAACATCCTTCATATGGGTGTTCAACAGGTCCTGCTGGCTTCAGAGCCTGACAATGCCCTGGTTCAGGAAAAGGATCAATTCAGACGTGGGGTGGCATTTTAGGAGGATGAACCACGTCCCAAAGCATAACCAACACAAGGGACAGTGAGTGCTCTTTGTGCTTTCAGGCCCTGCAGAGTCAGTGCCTGGTTTTGCACCAAAGGATGATCTGGGTTTCACATCTGAAGACGCTGCTGTTGTTGGCAAAGGTACTACAGACCCAAAATCATCCCCTGTGTCTCTTTGAGTTATGAAATGACAGGAAATGTGCCTTTGGAGAGTGGGAAAAGAACAGAAAGATCTGTACAATGTTTTAGGTCGTTCACAATCCCCAGTTCCATGGGAGCACAAAGAATTATGTTTGAGAGTGTTGCAGTTCCTGGATAGACAATTCCGGTCTGGAACGAGCTGGTTTGGTGTCCCCTCCATCCCAGAGCAGTCTGTAACCCCGTGTTCTGCCCTCCAGGTGTTTTTGGGAGCCCTCCTGCCCCAGCTGCCAGCCAGTCCATGCCCTGTGTGCCCAATGGGGATGTCCAGGGTGCCAGGGAGGGAGCAGAGGCAGCCCCAGGGAGAAGCTTCCAGCAGAACAGCCCTTCCCATTCCTGCTCCCATGCAGGGAAGGAAGGAGAGGTAAGAACTGCCCAGCCTGGTCCCTTCTCACCTGGGGGTGTGGGCTGGAGCCAGCCCAGCTCACTCACAGTCTCTGCTGGGACAGCAGCAGTTTGACTGGAGCAGCCAAAGCCTTCGAGCTGCTGCTCCTGATTTTCTTTTGGTGCCACCTGGATGGCAGATGGATGTGCCAGGAGCTTCCCACCATGCTCAGATCCCTGGAGAGGGGCTGCAGGAAGGAGTGGGGCTGGGAAATGCCCTCCCTGGCTGCCACAGCACAAGCACAATGTGGGAGGAGGGAGTGGCTGGGTGGGATCAGGTCTGGTTTTCCCCAGGGATTAATTAATCCAGCTCCAATCAGAAGTTTTTCTTAAAAGCCTTCCTGAATATTTGGCCATAATCTGGTTTCTGAGGAGTGGTGCTGTTTGTTAAAAACTATTTGCAAATGTAAATGGAGCAAGTTTTATCTGAATGAAGGGTGATACAAAGTCAAAAAACAATTAAATGGAACTCTTTCTACAAGCCTTTACAATAACATTTGAAGAACACTGAAACTCAAAGTTAATGATTTAGAGTGTCTTAATTTTCTGATTTTCCTTGAACATGTGAACCCTTGGCAGGATCAGATTCAAATCAGTAAATAGATTAAATTTGTTAAACTAACTTAAATTTAACTGGATTAAATTTATTTGCTGAGTTTTCCTGAGGCACAGAAGTCTCATGAACACAGGAGAGAGAAGGGTCAGATCAGAGAAAATCCTGATTTTCCAGCATCAGGAACTGGTGATTCAGTTCTGGGGTAACTTTTGCTTCATTTTTTTTTGCAGATAAAAGTGACCTTGTCAAAATCTGCTCAGGAGAAGCTGAGGAGGAAGAGGAAAGAAGGCAAAGAACACAACCATAAAGAGCAGCAGGAAGGCAAAGACTTGGAAGGGAAAGAGGAATTCCCTTGGGAAAGGATTAGACTGAGTATGAGTGAGCCAGAGAAACTCACAGCAGAAAGTGAGGATGAGGGTTTGTCTTTAATGAATATTCCCTGTTCAAGGCTGCTGAAATGGAAATCAGGGCTGGTGATACTGGGCTTTGACTTGCTTCTGATTGGTTTTATTGTAGTTTGGCCATTTCCTTCTTTCCTAGGGTTTAGTCTCTGTGGGGATTTACTGACATCGCCAAGAAATGGATCTTTGTCCTTAGAAAACGTGGCCTTGAACCCTTCCCTGAAAAGAACATCCAGTTTGAAGAGGTCAAAGTGTTCATCCTTGCTAGATTCTGGTAAGCTGGGACAGTAAACTCTTAAAATATTTGGGTAGGTGGAGTGGGACAGTTTCAAAATGCAGTTTATTTGTGCAGTGGACAGTCCTCAGGTGCTCTGGAAGATCAGCACTGGGGGGCTGGAGGGGATTTAATTCCTCATTGGGAATTCAGTTGATCACTTTTCATCTGGAATCTGTTAGGGAGTTTCATGAAACATCAGAGGCTTTTAGTTTGATCAGGATCTGAAATGATACAGTGCATTAACAGCAAACTGACTCCCTCTTGTCCCCAAAACCCCTTTTCTGGGTACATTTTGGCACTGAACTGCCTTTAAAATAACCAGTAGGGAAATGTTAAGAGTAGAAGCTCCACCTGATGGTGCTCAAAGGTGGCCAGAATTTGTCTAGTGTCTCTTCAAGGTTTATGATGTTACTAGCACACTGTGCATCTGTTTTTACATTAGACAACCACTGCCTTTGTGTTTGTGACTATAGAAGTGAAGGTTGTGTGCAAAATTGAATTCACATGAATGAAACTGACTGACTGAGGCTGCCCCTGGATCCCTGGAAGTGTTCAAGGCCAGAGCTTGGCCTGGCATGGTGCTGGTGCCTGAGGGCTCCCTGGAGCAGGGCTGGGCAGAGTTAAAGAACAAAGCAGGGATTTATTAACAGCCCTCACAGGACACACCTTGGGCAGCACAAGAGCCCGGCCATGGCTGCACCCCAGATGGGCCCTGGCTCAGGGTTCTCACACTTTGATAAGCTTTGGTCCATTGCCATGCTGGGTTCAGTGTCCAATTCCAGCTCCAGGAGATGCAGTCCCACCCTCCCAGGCTGCTCTCCTCCCTCCCCTGCTGTTTGCACTTTTGGGGCTGGAGCTGCAGCGGTGTCCTTGGTTCTGGGGCTGGAAAAGGATTGTTGTGTGTGCCTGAGCTGTGAGGAGAGCTGCTGGCACTGTGTGGGGCTCAGAGGCACACCAGTGCAGGGCACAACATGGAAAATATAAAAGCTCAAGGTGAGGGCATCAGTGGGAGGGTCCCTGCCCGTGGATGGCATTTCAGCTCCTTCCAGCCCAAAGCACCCTGGCACCGTGAGTGCTTTGCCAGCCCCGTGTCCTGCAGCAGCACTCCGTGCCTCAGCGCGGTCTGTGCCTGCCTGCAGCTGGCAGAGCCCCGGGTGGCGTGTCCCCTGTCACTGGTGGCATGTCCCCTGTCACTGGTGGTGTGTTCTGTGTCCCCTGTCACTGGTGGTGTGTCCCCTGTCACTGATGGTGTGTCCCCTGTCAGAGCTGTGTCCCTGTCAGAGCTGTGTCCTCTGTCAGAGCTGTGTCCCTGTCCCTGATGCTCTGTCCCTGTCACTGATGCTGTGTCCCCTGTCACTGATGCTCTGTCCCTGTCAGAGCTGTGTCCCCTGTCACTGATGCTGTGTCCCTGTCAGAGCTGTGTCCCTGCTGTCAGAGCTGTGTCCCTGTCCCTGATGCCGTGTCCCTGTCCCCAGAGGCGCCGGTGACACAGAGCCCCGAGGTGCTGGACCCGGCCGAGCTGCTGCCCTTCCCCCGGCCCGAGCCCGCCCTGGCAGAGGCGCTGGCACTGCTGGCTGACCACGACTGGTGCGTGCACGGGGACAGCTGTGAAACACTGCCACGGGGCACAGACAGCGAGGGAGAGAGGAGAGAAACTGGGGGTGGGGGTGGGGAATGGATTTGGAGAGAATTTGTAAAGTTTGACAGAAGGTTTGCATAGTATGTGTTTGTATGTGAGCAGTGTATTTGCATGTGAACAAATACATACTGTATAAATGTAAAAGTTCTTCAAAATAGAAGTTTTTAAAACACCTCTCAGTTACCCCATCTCTGGGTCAGAAAAGGACTAAATCCGACAGGGGGTTCAGTCAAGTTTGAGATTAAAGGAGCTTTGTAAGTTAGGGTTGGGAACTGGGCATTCAGAGACTTGGAGAGTCTGACTTGAAGGGCTGGAGAGGCAGCACCAGCACCTTCCTGGGGCTGTCTGTGGAATCAGCAGCCCAGCCTTGGGGCTGGCTCTCTGTGGAATCAGCAGCCCAGCCTTGGGGCTCTCTGTGGAATTAGAAGCTCCTTTAGTTTCTGTGTGGAATTAGCAGCTCATCCTTGGTGCTTTGTGTGGAATAAAAGCATCTCTTGGGTGCTTCCTGATTTGGGATGTGCTTACAGAGCTGCTGCCTTCAGTTTGGGGAAGGAAACAGATCCTTTAATTGTCACTGGTGCCAGCTGGGACCAGAACTGTGGCACTCTGCTGAGAGGCTGCTGTGCTGGAACAGGCCCACAGGAAAAGACAGATTTCCTTGGAAAGAGTTTCCTGCTTTATTTCCCTGCTGGCAGGGTGGGCAGGCCCTGGCACAGGTGCCCAGAGCAGCTGGGGCTGCCCCTGGATCCCTGGCAGTGCCCAAGGCCAGGTTGGACACTGGGGCTGGAGCAGCCTGGCACAGTGGGAGGTGTCCCTGCCATGGCAGGGGGGGCACTGGGTGGGATTTAAGGTCCTTTTGAACCCAAACCATTCTGGGATTATTTCTCATTGCTTTATTTTACCATCTAATTTGTTTGCTATTTGATTCCTTAGAATTCCACACTTGAATATTTTAATGAGACTTTTCAAATGGATGGAAATTAAATATTATTTTTTCACACAGGGAGAAGAAAATTGAAGGTCTGAACTTTGTCAGGTGCTTGTCTGCCTACCATGCCCCTATTCTGACTGCAAAGCTCCACGAAACAACTCTGGCTGTGGCTCAAGAGGTTAAATTTTCCTATCAGAATATTCCACTGGCTCTCTGTGTGTATATATGTATTTTACAGCTCTCTGAAGTGATTTATGCTCACCTCTGGCGAGTTTTCCTCAACTGGACTGTCTCAAGGATGATTTGAGACTCAGAGGCTGAGAAAATGTAGATTTTAACTTTATAACATTTTTACGAGTGTGTATTTTAATTCTCACCCATTGTGAATCAAGTTAGAAATGTGTTTCTCAGTTGCTTGTAATGTTACTTAAAAATGACAAAGGGCAAACATGAATATTTATTTGAAAGTCTCTCTGATCAACATTATTCATTGTTTTTTGGGTTTTTCCTGTGTGCAGGTCAAGAATTTACGCTCAGGTGTTTCTCGAGCTGCTGTGGTCTGTTTAGGGGATTTGTTCACCCACCTGAAAAAGAGCATGGATCAAGAACTAGATAATGCAGTAAAAGTCCTTTTGCACAAAGCTGGGGAATCCAACACTTTTATAAGGGAAGAGGTAGACAAGGCACTGAAGGCCATGGTTAATAATGTGACTCCAGCACGTGCACTTTGTTCTCTTATAAATGGAGGGCAAAGGTAATTTCCTATAAAGACTTTATAAAGAATATTGTGAATAGAGTAAATTTATCAAATGTAGGCTTTTTAACATCAAAGCAGAGTACAGTAGACAGAAATTTGAAAACCAGTAAATCAGATGTGCTAAACCTCTACCCAGGGCAATGTTTGTTGGCATAAATTGAATTAAAGCCCCTCTGTTCCTTTCTGTGCATTATGTTGATTTTGGAGCTTGGTGTATTTTCTGGCTGTTTTGCACCACCTCAGTGCTTTTAGTTGCTGTTACTGTATATTCTTGGGGAGCTGCTGCTTGCTTTGCCTGGTAAAGCTGACATGATGTTCTTTCTTTTCCTCCTTTGCTCTGCAGTCAGTTCCTGCCTTGGCCAGTTTTCAGCACCTCTCTTTATTTAGAAAACTGATTTATAACTTCTGGTTCTCTAGCTGCATCTCTCTAGCTTGATTCCTCCTCTCTAGGCTGAGCCTTTGTGGCTGCATTTTAATTTCCTTCTCAGTGCTGGTGGCCATTCTTTTCTGGAGTTAATTCCCTTCTTTCCCTGGCCCTGTTCAGTCTGTTTTCCTTTCCCATCCTCATTCACTGCTCACCACCTCTGAGCTGGGTGCACCCCTGGTGCTTCCTCTCTTCTCTGCCACCCCTTGGTGACATTTCCCAGGCTCCCTTTCCCTTCATGACACATTTCAGGTGCTCCATTCAAGGTCTCTCCACAGATTTCCTGCACAGCTCCAATCCTCAGAGCTGAAAATGTTCTCTTTTGTTTCCTGGGCAGCTGGTTGTTGGGGGATCCATGGATTGTGTCTCCTGACAGCTCTACTGCAGTTTCCTGCTCTTTAAACTGAAAGGCAAAAGCCAGCCTTGGGATTTCCATTCTTGATGAATTACTGGGATTCAGACTGGCTTGGGATGGATACCCCGCCCCTGGAAGTGCCCCAGCCAGGCTGGATGGGGCTTGGAGCAACCTCCTTGGGGTGGTGGAAGGTGCCATGGATTTATGGCCCCTACCATCCCAAACCAGGCTGATTCCATAATTCTGTGACTTCAGGAGCAGCAGGCAGTCACTGCCCATGGCTTTCAGTCAGCAGCAAGGGGAAGTGCCCTCTTTGGGTTCTCCCTTCCTGGCCTCAGAGACCCGTGGCCCTCCTGGGCAGAGCTGTCTCTGCCAGAGCTCCCCACCTTCCCAGGCAGATCCAAACTCACCTGCTCAGGGGTTTCCTGTAGGCATTTGTCCCCTCCACTGGGTGAGTTTGTGCAGGTTTTCTGCTATCTAAGGCATCAGAACTGAGCTGAGTGCTGCCTTTGGCACAGATTAATCTGTTCACAGCTCAGACTTTCCTAACTCACGGAGTACAGGATGTTTTTAATGGATAACACATCAGGGCATGGCCTAAAGGTGCAGCTTTTCTAGGCCTGGCTTCAGGAAGCTCTGGCCATGTCAGCAGGAAAGCTCCTGGAGCACAGGGCAGCTCCAGAGGCTCTGACCAGGAATATGGAATTACCTTCAAAGGGGAAAGCTGTGTCTCAGCAGGAAGTGAAAAGGATTGTTTGACACAACTGTAATTCCACAAGGGATGTTCTCTCTAAGTTGGGCAGAGTTGCTTAAACTCACCACAACGTAATCCTTCAATTATGGTGTCACTTACACTTCATGGGACCTCTTAAATAAAAGTACCTGGTTTCTGCTCAGCTCCTTTCCAGCCCTCTGTGATCATGACTCTAAGGCTGGCAGCCCTGACCTGACAGAAATACTGATTCTTCATCAGCTCCAGAGCTGGGTTTGACTTTACCAACAAGAATCATTCCAGTGGGAGGTGTCCCTGCCACGGCAGGGGCTGGAGCAAAATGAGCTTTTTCAGGTCCCTTCCCAAGCCAGTCTGGGATGCTGTGAGCAGAGTCATGATCCAGGAGCATGATTCCAGGGATAGAGCTGAGAGTGATTTTACTGCAGGAACTTTAAAATCCTGATTCTTACCTGTATGCTCTGTGTTTACCTCTAAGGTGTTGTGTGCACACAAATGTTTTCCAGCTGTTTCCATGAGCAAGGGCTTGTTTGCTTCATGGAGATCTCTCAGCCTCTCAATTCTTGTTTTCCCCTGAAAGTGCAGCAGGAGTTACAAATTGTCCTCAAAGTAGCATTTTTAATCCAAATATAAGATTGGAGACGTTAGTTTGCAGGATTTTGTTCCTGAACACAAGTGGGATCAGCAGGGGCAGCACAATTTAGATAAAAGGCTCATTTGCTGCACGAGTTTGAAAGCTGATTCTGGCTGTTCTCTCCTTTGCATCAGCACAAGTGTTTATTTTATGCAAAGCAGGGAACAGGAGACTCCTGCAGGATCTTTAGGAGTCGATTGAGCACTGTTTTAGTCAATTTTAAAGTGATATCAAATCAATTTGCTTTAGTCAGATTTATTCAAGTGCCCAGGATCTGTCTCTGAGCACAGGTTTTTCTTAGAGCTCATTGAAATAACAGACATATGCTTTGTAAAATAAAATTATCTGAAGGAAAACCAGAACTGAAACTCTAAACCCCCCTGTTTGTATCCAACAAGAACTGTAGTGGAAGGTGTCCCTGCCCATGGCGGGGGCGGAACGGGATGGCCCTGGAGGTCCTTCTGGAGGCTGGGATGGCCCTGGAGGTCCTTCCTGCAGGCTGGGATGGCCCTGGAGGTCCTTCTGGAGGCTGGCAGGGCGGGTGGGGCTGCCAGCAGCCCTAAGGGCTGTCCCTCAGGCCTCTTTCCCTCCGCAGCCACCTGCACTCGGCCGTGAGGAGATGCACGGCCCAGCACCTGGGGGACATCGTGGAGCGCCTGGGCCCCGAGCGCGTCCTGGCCGGCGGCCGGCCCGTGGCCGAGAGGCTGCTGCCTGCCATCGCCAGGTTTGCACAGGACAGCTCCCAGCAAACACGGTGAGCACTGCTGGGGACAGGGACAGCCACCCTGGGGCTGTGGGTGAGCACTGCTGGGGACAGGGACAGCTGCCCTGGGGCTGTGGGTGAGCATTCCCTGGGGACAGGGACAGCCACCCTGGGGCTGTGCCCTCGGGGCAGGATGGGTTAGGAGGGAAAAGGCTTTGGGGGGCAGTAAGGGTTGGAAGGGCCTGGAGCACCCCAGGCTAGTGGAAGGTGTCCCTGCCAGTGGCAGAGGTGGAAGGGGTTGGGATTTTAGGTCCCTTCCAAACAATCCTTTGAGTGCAGCTGTTCCCCCAGCACTGGCAGGACTGTCAGGGTAGTGCCTGTGGCAGGAATCACCTGGATACCTCCCACACACCCTGGCTGCAGGGAGGAGAGGGGCTCCCAGGATGTGCTGTGCTGGGCACAGAGGAGAGGCAGCCACACAGGGAATGCTGTCTCTGGAATCCACACCTGGAGCTGATCCATGCCTGACAAGGCTGGACCACCCTGGTTAAAGCCAGCAGAACTGGAAGGCTGTTCTCATTAATTTGGTCAGTTAATTAAAGTGATCCTTGAGCACATCCTCTGGGGGAGGATGGAGAGGGGTCTGGTTACTCATGTCAGCAGCAATTTTAGAGTCACGGAACCCCTGAGGTTGGAAAATACCTCCAATAACAGTGACCCTCAGCCTCTCCTGGGGGCTCCAGCCCCTTCCCAGCTCTGTTCCCTTCCCTGGACACAGTCTCCCTGCACCTTTCCATGTTGGAATCACACAGCTGGAATGACCCAGTGACAAAGCCAGTCCCTGTTCCTGGATGTCCTGGTGCTCTCCCTGCAGGTACTATGGGAGGAGGATGCTCTTCAGCATGATGGCTCATCCTGACTTGGATAAAATCCTGGAGAAGTTTGTGCCACCCAAGGATTTGCCTTACATTAAGGAAACTGTTGGCAGCCTACGAGAGAAGGTGTGTGGGAAAGCTCTTGTGTAGCACCTGGGGCAGGTGGAGGTGTCCTGGGGGCTCCTGGGTGTAGACAATTGCAGCACTGCACCCACAATAATTCCCTGTGGTACCCTTGGTCCGTGAATTCCTGCTGTGCCTTTGTGCAGGGCCTGGGGGAGATGCCCTTGGATACACCCTCAGCCAAAGGAAGGCGTTCCCAGACTGGAAATGTTGGACATTTGAGGTCATCCTCTACTTGCAGAGATGCTGCCATCATCCCAGACAGGTAATGAGCTCCAGTGCTTATCCTGTGAGGAACCTGCCCAAGGAGGGAGCACAGTAAGAGTCATACAGGGCTGGGAAGGTTAAGCATCCCTCTAGGAAAAGGAAAGTCTTGACCTATTCCAGGGAAACTCTTAAATAGAGTCACCAGTTATATTAAAATGGCTTTGTGCACTTTGAAGTTAATTTGTCTATTGACCATCTATGAAATACACGCAGTACACAAACCACCTGGAATTCACTGTGTGGAATCACAGAATCATGGAATGGTTTGGGTTGGAAGGGCCTCAAAGCCCACCCAGCACCACCCCTGCCATGGCAGGGACACCTCCCAGTGTCCCAGGCTGCTCCAAGCCCTGTCCAGCCAGGCCTGGGACACTTCAGGGATCCCAGGGCAGCCACAGCTGCTCTGGGCAGTGTAGATCCAATGGATCCATGGCAGCATCATCCCAGATGTTGCTGTTCAGATTCATGGAAAAACCATTCCTGGTTGGAGCCACAGCACAAATTACTCATTTGTACACAACTGTGGACACCAAGGACTTAGTTAGACCCTGACTGGGGATGCTGGAGGGTTTAGACCATACTCTGACCACTTTTAGTTTTGTTTTATCTTCTTACAGGTTTTATATTGACCTTTTTTAGGTCTTGGATATACAGCAGCAGTTTTTGGGCTCAGATAGATATGAACACAATGACATTATGGATTACCCCAGGACATTCCACCCCTTCTTCCATGTCATCTGATTGATGCCCAAATGAGTACATTTGAACTTTAAACACACATATCTATACATTTTATATATATATATATATACACACACACAAGTACAATTATGTCAGGGGTCACTGGGTCACTGCCCATCCAGGATATCCCAGGTAGTTCTGCAGCCAGGGGTGCCCAGGCATTCCAACATTACAGGCTCTTCTCACCCCAAATCAATGTCCCTGATGTGCACAAGACATTTCTGCATCACCCACCAGGTGCAGCCAGGTCCCTGAGCAGAGACAGCCCCACGGATGGGTTTGTCTTTGCTCCAGGCAGGATTAATCCAATACAGTCTTTCCTACCATCCTGCAGCTGTGTGCACCACAGGGCCTCCCCATGGTTATATGTAGACCCCAGATCCCAGGGTTGGTCCCACTTGGCCTTGATGGCAGCTCATGTTTCATGGATCCAGTCAGGAATTACCCAGGATGCAGTGGCCATGGTAAAGGCCACCCCTTGGTCTCGTGCCCACATAGAGGTGGCACCTCTTCCCTGCTGACCTGAGGCCCCACCAAGCTGGAGATAGCTCTGCCTTGTTAGCAGGGCAGATCTGCCCATGACACCTCACTCCTGCAGCCTGCTCCAGCTGTTTGTTGTGATGCTCCTCGCCAGCCCAGCTCTCAGGCACAGGATGGCCTTTCACTGTCAGCCCCTGCACCTGGCCAGGGATGTTCTGCCATTCTCCAGCAGCCAAAATCAGTTTCCCTCTGTGCTGCCAATTGCCCTTTTCCCACCTTTCCAGCCACTCCCACAGAGCACCATCCACCAGCCAGTGCAGAGGGGAGAGTGTTGGCCATTTCCCTTGCTCAGGGATGTCCAGAGCCAGCTGGAGGCTTTCAGCCCTGCAGCCTGACTGGATCCACCTTCAGCAGCCTCCATGACTCCCCATGGAGGGCTCCACACAGCTGCTTCCATGTCCTGCTGGTTCCAGCAGTGAGGAGAGTGTGTCACCTCTCCCCCTCTGCTGGCTGCTTCTGTGCTGGGGCCTCCTCAGCACTGTCACCTTGTCTTGCTTTGGGACAATTTAATGAGGTGGGCACTCTGAAATGAGCAATGACCTCCCCTTGATTCCAGTCAATCCCTTTCTGCTAATAAGGAATGAGATATGAATAGGTAGAAGTGAAAAAATAACAGTTTATTAACAGAATTCCAGCAGGCAGGGGGAAAAAATGTAAATAACTGCTGGATAGCAAAGTGCTAAATCTCATGAACTCCCCAGGAAAAATAAGAGCCCCAAAATGCTGGAAATACCCATTGCTGTCAGGGGTGGCCTCAGGCTTTAGCACAAAGGGACAAGCTGGTGTCAGATCCCTCTTGGGAAGCCTCGTGGAGCAGTTCCAGCAGCAGACAAAGGCCTGGCAGCTCATCCAGGGTCAGCCTGCTCCCCACAGCAGGGCAGGCAGGCAAGGGGCCGCTCGGGGTTGTCTGTCCCTGGCTGGTGCTGCCCACAGGGCTGCAGTGGGGCTGCTCCACTCCTGCTGGGATTCCTCAGCTGTGGACAGACACCCACAGAATTCATCCATAAGGCAGCTCAAACCTGCTCACTGCAGTCCCTCCAAGCTGAGGGAAAAACCAGAAATGAAAAGAGAATCCAGAAAAGGAAGGAAAAAAAAACAGCCTGAGCAAAGACCAAGCAGCTGCGAAGCCAACACCACACAGAGAAATGCCACAAAGTGCCTGGGTGGGGGATTTTACAAACCCCCAGGACAGCACCACACACACACAGGGTCCCTGGCTGAGCTAGGTCTGGAATACAAGAACACTAAGGATCACCCCAGGACACGTCACTGGGTCCTTTCTGGCAGGGTGGGCAGGCCCTGGCACAGAATTGCCAGAGCAGCTGTGGCTGCCCCTGGATCCCTGGCAGTGCCCAAGGCCAGCCTGGACACTGGGACACCCTGGCACAGTGGGAGGTGTCCCTGCCGTGTGGGGGTGGCACTGGGTGGGATTTAAGTTCCCTTCCAACCCAAACCATTCCATGGTTTGTGATTGAATGAGCTGAAAAGGAAGCACCCCCAGTTTTAAAGCGAGCCAAAAACTGCATCCAAGAACACGGAGTTCAGAGGGCTGTGACTGCAGTGTCTCTTCAGGACCAGATTTCTTTAACACACCCTCCACAGTTCAAAATAATAACTGGTTCTACATTTACTGATAACATTTGATTGCTTGTTCCATTCCCTATTCAAGTCTTGTGTTCAGGAATTAGGAGTAAGGTAATGACTGCCTGGATGGTCTGAAAATACCTGGACAGAAAGGTAATTCCACAGGTTTTAGAATTCTTTCCATGACTCTCTAATGAGATCAGGTGCTACAGGAAATTTGTTTTTAAATATTCCAGGAAGAGCCGTTGGTTTTTCACCTCAGCATGGAGTGTTGCTGAGGTAACAACTGGTCTGGGCTCAGCCTTTCAAGTATTCCGGGAATAAAGATCTAAACTACAATAAGTTTGGGGGGTTATGACCCATTGATGTAAGGGAAGTTCCAAATTGATCCTGGTCACAAAACCAGCTGCATTTGGAGCAGAGTGAATATAAGACTTTGGGAACCTAATTACTACTAATCAATTTAATTCACCATATTTAAGGTGAAACTTTGTGCTTACTTCTGACACTTGCATTTAGATGGGAAGAGAACGTGTGTGATGAGCGTCCTGTTCCAACCCACAGAACAACATTTCCCTTTCCCACAGGGACAGCACGGAGAGCCACGAGGCCCCACGGAGAGCAGCTCCTCGCAGTGCCCTGGAGAGTGAGGAGTACGTCAGGGACATGGTGGGGTTACTGAACGCCAAAGATTTCCGGGAGCGCATCCGCGGCGTGCGGCAGCTGCTGCTGGACACGGAGAGCAGCCCGGCGCTGGTGCTCGCCAACATCGTCAGGGTAACGCTGCCAGAGCCTGGGCTTCAGGGGGCTTAGGGCTGGCTTGGTGCCTCAGGTGTGGCTTTTCTATTTTCAGGTTCTGAGCTGCTTTAGTGTGTGGGGCTGGGCTTCACATCAGGGCATGGTGAGCTCTGTGCACAGAGCAGGGAGACAAAACAATTCCTGCTCCAGCTGGGCACCAAGGACAAATGATCCAAATCTCAGCCCAGGAGCACAAACCCCGTGGGCTGTGGCATTCACATTCTTTGAAAGAATTCTTTCACCCAGGGTTTTTCTCCTGGGAAGCTGAAAGGCAGCGAGAGAGGCCTCAAAAAAAAAAAGAAAACAATTCTTATCTCATTTGCTTCTCCTGTGTTGTGCTCGTCTAGAATGTGTTTAGAGATTGTTTACCCAAAAGTGATTGCTTCCTTGGACTCCAGTGTTAGTTGTTTTAACTAATTATCCAAACAGAGCCAAGCTGTGTTGGGACTCTAGAGAGAGTTGCGAGTTTTCATTATTATCTTTTAGCATTAAGTATCTTTTCTGTATTCTTTAGTGTAGTATAGTATAGTATTCTTTAATCTAGTATTATAAAGTAATAAATCAGCCTTCTGAGAACATGGAGTCAGATGCATCACTCCTGCCTTCGTCAGGGTGCCCAAGCATTTACAATGTGAGGCACCAAGGGAGGAAAGGAAGGGAATGGGAGGAAAAACGTGGAATTTATCACTCAGGCCACTTTTGAACTACTGCCCTGAGAAGCTGTGTCTGTCTCGTCCCTGGAAGTGTCCAAGGCCAGGTTGGATGAGGCTTGGAGCACCCTGGGATAGTGGAAAGTGTCCCTGATGGTGGCAGGGGGTGGGATGGGATGGGCTTTAACATCTCTTCCCATGGAAACCAGTCTGCGATACCATGATTTCTGGATGGAACTCCCTCCAGCCTCTGCTCTAGGGCAGCCTGCACAAGGGATCAGAGTCACCAGGTTTTCTGAGGAAAGTCTTAGGTCCTTCTTGGAATAAGAATGATGGACAGAGAGCATTGAGGAGCAGGGGCATCTGTGTGAGGCACCAAGGGAGGAAAGGAAGGGAACGGGAGATAAAACGTGGAATTTTTCACTCAGGCCACTTTTGAGCTACTGCCCTGAGAAGCTGTGTCTGTCTCGTCCCTGGAAGTGTCCAAGGCCAGGTTGGATGAGGCTTGGAGCACCCTGGGATAATGGAAAGTGTCCCTGATGGTGGCAGGGGGTGGGATGGGATGGGCTTTAACATCTCTTCCCATGGAAACCAGTCTGCGATACCATGATTTCTGGAATCCTTGTGCTGTTTTTCATGCCACTCTTGGGTAAATATCAAAATATGGAATGGTTGTGAAAAAGGCAGAAAGGATTAATGAAGAGCTGTAAAAATGTCTCTGAAGTAGAGTTACAAGTTTTGTGTGAGAGAAGGTGAGAAAAGTACTATGCCAGATTTACTGTGCTAAAGCTCAGGATGAGCATCCTGAGCTCCGATAGGAAAGGACATCCTGCAGGAGAAAGAAACTGCTGTAAATTAGTCAGCTGTAAATTAAAGACAGACACAATGAAAGGAAGCCAAGCTTGTCCTCCAGCAGTGCCATATCTTAGTGTGGAATGATGGAATTGTGCTGTGGGACCTCCTGGTGTCCAATCTGTGGGTGGGTTTGAAACCTTTGAGACATTCCCTGTGCCAAACAGAGCCGTGTCTCCCTAAAAGTACTGGCTGGCAGGAAATCTGAGCCACAGTGAGAGTCACTGTGCCTGGAGTCATTGCACTGCAGGGCTTCAGACAGATTAATGCACAGGGTTAAAACAGCAAATCAAAAAATGATCCCAGGTATTTGCATATCCCAAAATCCCAGAACCCCAGAGTGGTTTGGGTGGGAAAGGACCTCACAGAACATCTGTTTCCAACCCCTGGAGATAGCAGAGCCATCGTGTGTCGAGGTGGACAATTAAAGGGTAGCAATAAAGCAGGTAATGAGCTTTATTGATTCCCAGTTCCATGAGTGCTGCTTGGGTGCTTTTCCAGATCTTTGATGCTTTCAAGCCTCGCTTACACGACTCCAACAGCAAAGTGACCCAGGTGGCTTTGGAGGCCATGCACAAGATGATTCCACTGCTCAAAGACAATTTGTCACCTGTGATCAACATGTTAATTCCTGCCATAGTGGACAACAACCTCAACTCCAAAAATCCAGGGATTTATGCAGCTGCCACAAATGTGATCCAGGCTCTATGTCGACACTTAGGTGAGCAATTTATTTTCTCTTAATTTGAAACAGTTTTAATTGTGGTGATTAAATTGTAAATTGAAAGTGTTACTCTTTCCAAGAGTTGCACATGGTTGCTACACTGTGTAAAAATCATTGGGTTTATTCTCACCACACAAATCACCTTGACATTGCTCAGTAGTGCTTTGGTTATTTTTCCATAGCATTTTCTTATTTACCTTTTCCCATATTGTGTTTATTTCCAGATAATTTAATTTCCATTTAAGAATTTAACATGTTTTGCTCTTTGCCTTTAGACACCTCCCTGCTCCTGCAGCCATTCTGCACAAAAGCCCAGTTCCTGAGTGGAAAAGCAAAGCAGGACCTGACAGAAAAGCTGGCTGGTAAAGTGCTGCTTTCCTTTGCTTGTTTGGTTGGTTGGGTTCCCTTAATTAGGGAAGTTAATTGCAAGGTGGAGGTGGGTCTGTACCTTCCCTTCTGTCTCAGGAGGTTGTCACATTTCAGCTCTTTAATGGAAATTGGAGCTATTGCTGGCAAAACAAAGGATTAGTGTTAGCATTAGTGTTATATAGTCAGATGGAAGATCTATAAATACCTGGAATTTATAAATAGTTATAAATATGTTAAGGATTTAATTTAAATGTAAATACCTCATATATTTAAATACCTTAAGGATTAACATTTATAAATACCTAAAGCATATAATAATTTTAACATGGTATTGTATTCCCTCTCCCAGTGCTCATTCCCTCATGCTCTTGCCAGGAATCCAGACTGGTTTGGGTTCAAGGGACCTTAAATCCCACCCAGTGCCCCCCTGCCATGGCAGGGACACCTCCCACTGTCCCAGGGTGTCCCAGTGTCCAGCCTGGCCTTGGGCACTGCCAGGGATCCAGGGGCAGCCACAGCTGCTCTGGCAATTCCAGCCCAGCCCCTCTCACCTCCCAGACAGGAATTCCTCAAGAAAAGCTGAATTTCCATGCTTTAAATGAACAAGGAATGTCTTTATGGGAAATATGCTTGAACCAAACATTTCCTTGGCTCACTTTGAGAGCAGTTCTGTGTGAAATGGAACTCAATACTAACACAATGGACAGGCTGTTCTGGAAATATCCCTAAATTTGTGCTTTCTGAGGGTGTTAAACAGCCTTTAAACAGTCCCTCTCTTGCTGGGATTTTTGGAGTGGTTTTTATTATATATCAGAAGAGGCTCTTCTGGCAGAGAGGGAAACATTTGCTAATGAAACACTGAATTCATTCTTGAGGAAACTATTTCATCCTATAAACGTATCTATTTATTTTTATACATATTTTATATGTATGTGTGGAGGGCCAGGAGTTGGACTCGTGATCCTTGTGGGTCCCTTCCAGCTCAGGATATTCCATCATTCTGTGATTCTATATTTACAGTATAAGGCTGTTTTTTTCTTAAATATCTACTGCTTATTTGTGAGATAGAGGGGAAATTGGAAATACCAGACCTTACACTGTGAGAAATAAAGGTCCTTATGGGAATCCTAACTGAAAAAAACCCAAGCTAAAATCCCCTTTATTTCTTTTACTTTTTTTAGCTCAGTGGAAAAGTGTAATTATCAGCAGCACTGGTGCTACTGTGTAAACTCCTAGGAGAGGATAACAGGAGTGGTTGTGGGAAAATCTGGTATTTTTATGGGAGCTGATGATGTTGCAACAGCAAATTCTTTTGTACAGCAGCAGTTTGAGGAGATGATTTAAGTGCTTTTAAATCCCTCTCAAAGGTGGGGATCACATTGAAATTGTAATTTAAATTAATATTTTATCCTGACCCTTGCTTGCTGCCTTGCAGAGCTGGTGGTGGAGCTGAACCCCTCTCAAAGCTGGGGATCACATCTAAATTGTGATTTAAGTGAATATTCTCTTGCAGAGCTGGTGCCAGAGCTGTACCCTTCTCAAAGGCCAGGAGCCCATCGAAATTGTAACTGAAATGAGTATTTTCTCCTGACAGAGCTAGTGTTGGAGCTGTACCCCTCTCAAAGCTGGGGATCCCATTGAAATTGTAATTTAAATTAATATTTTATTGCAGAGCTTGTGCTGGAGCTGTACCCCTCTCAAAAGTGGGGATCCCATCTTTGAGATTGTAGTTTAAATGAATATTTTCTCCCGGCAGAGCTGGTGCCGGAGCTGTACCCTCGCAAGCCGTGTGCCGTGGAGCAGAAGGTGCTGCCCGTGCTGTGGCACCTGCTGGGCAGCTCTGCCAGCGGCGGCTCGGTGCCCGGCCCCCGCACGGCCGCGGCCGCCTTGGCGCGGGCCCTGTGGGCACAGATGGGCCCCGGCCTGCTCGCCCACGCCGCGGCCCAGCCGCCGCACATCAGCAAGAGCCTGGAGGAGCTTTTGGAGACGGGAACGTAAAATCGTCGAATGGCCGTCCCCGCAGGTGAAGCTCCAGCGCCGCCTGAGCCGGGCATGCGGACGGCGCTGCCGGGACGGGGCGGGAACGGCCCCCGAGCTGGGCACGGTGCCTGAGGGAGCCGGGACAGCCCCGGAGCCGGGCTGGGCTGGACTGCACCGGGAGAGACACCGGAGCCAGGCTGGGAGAGCCTGGGGAGCTGAACTGGGCTCTGCTGGGCCGGCCTGAGGGTCTGAACCGGGCTGTGCTGGGCCGGCCTGAGGCTCTGAACCGGGCTCTGCTGGGCCGGCCTGAGGGTCTGAACCGGGCTCTGCTGGGCCGGCCTGAGGGTCTGAACCGGGCTGTGCTGGGCCGGCCTGCAGGGCTGAGCAGGGACAGCGTGCAGGACTGAGCTGGGCCGTGCTGGGGGAGCTGTGCTGGGCAGGGTGGGGCCGGCTCCCCTCACTGTCACCAGCATGGCCGTGGAGGAGCCGCTCCAGCCCATCTGTGCTTCCCTCCAGAGGCTCCAGCCCGGGACCTGGCCCTGGATTGCCCGTGAAGAGCGCACGGTCACATCAGCACTGCGCTTTACATGGAGAAGTGGAAGAGAGTCCTGGACACAGTGATGCAGTGCTGTTTGTGAAAAACATGTATTTTTGTACCCCCAGAGGCAGTGGTGCAGTATTTGTTGTCTCAGGGCTGGGCAGTGGGGAGAATGAACCCTGACCCTTCTTCTCCAGCTGCAGGCTCTGGACACATTGGACATGGGACACAATGGGATATATAAATAAAGGGATTTATTTCTGTACAGGGATGTATTTCTGCAAAGGGGTGGGAAGGAGTGGCTCGAGAGCTGCTCTGCTCAAAGGAACCCGGTGACAGCGGCTGAACGTGAGCCCAAGTGTGCCAAGGTGGGCAAGAGGCCAAAGGCACCTGACCTGGACCAGGAATAGTGTGGCAGCAGGGCCGGGACAGTGGCTGTCCCCTGGGCTGGCACTGCTGAGTGACCTCCAATCCTGGGATTGCCTCTGGGCCCCTCATTTTAAAAGGGACATGGAGGGGCTGGAGCGTGTCCAGGGAACTGAACGGAGCTGGGAAGGGCGCCTGCCCGTGGTGTGGGTGACTTGGTTCAGTGGTTTAAGGGCTACAGTGGCAGTGCTGGGTCGACAGCGGGATCTGGGTGAATCTCTCCAAATCATTCTAGGATGTGTTTCCATAGGGGGCTGTATTTATTATATTCCCTTTACCGGGCTGTATTTATTCCCACACTTAGCTGTATTTATTTCACTCCCGTAGCGGGCTCTGTCTCACCGCTCTGCCCCTCAGGGACCGGCGCCATTTGGCGGGAAGGGGCGGGCTCCGGGGGCGGCCGTTGCGCACGCGCGGGGGCCGGCGGTGCGCGCGCGCGGGGTGCTGTGCGCGTGCGCGGTGCGTGAGGCCCGGGCGAGGCGGCGGCGGCGGCTGAGGCGGCCCCGGCTGTGGCGGCCCCGGCAGGTACCGGCGAGGGGCGAGGGGTGCGGCGGCGCGGAGCCAAAGGGAGGAGATCGGGGCGCTCCGACAGCGGCCGGGAGCGGCCGGGCCGAAGGACAGCCGGGGCGGGAGGCCGAGGCGTCCGGAGGCTGGGCCGGGCCGGGCCGGGCCGCGCGCGGGGCGCTCCGAGCGCCGTGTCGGCCCCGCGGCCGCTGCCAGGCCTCGGGTTTGCTCGAGAGGTGAACTCTGCCGTGGGGGTGTATCCCGGTGTCCCCTTTGTATCCTTTTATCCCCGTTGTCCGCGTTGAACGGCCGCTGGGCGAGTAACGGGCCCTTGCGGAGCCGCTCCGCTCCGCGCCGCGCGGTTTGTGACGTTATTGCTCGGACTGGGCCCCGGAGAGGCCCTGATGGAGAGGGAACGGCCTCGGGCCGGGCCAGCGCAGCTCAGGGTGGGCACAGCAGGAGTTTCCCCATGGAAAGGGTGCCCGGGCCTTGGCAGGGGCTGCCCGGGGAGGGTTGGAGTGCCCATCCCTGGAAGTGTCCCAGGAATTCCTGGACGTGACGCTCAGAGCTCTGGGCTGGCGGCGAGGTGGGGATCGGGCACAGCTGGTGGCCTTGAAGGGCTTTTCCAGTAAATGATTCCGTGATTCAAACCTAATCCCGGCCCAGCCGCGCTGGGCCCGGGCAGCGCCGGCCCTGCCCCGGGTGGATCCAGCAGCGCCTTATCAGGGGTGTGAATGGAGCGTTCCGATAAGGCTCCGCATTCCTGCCCCTCTGCAGTTTCCCTGTTTGTTTCCCAATAGTTCGTTCACGTTTATGAGCGGCAGTTTTGTGTACAGCCGTCTCTTGCTGGTAACAGGCTGAGTAATACATGTTGGCATCAATTATTTAATAGCAGTGTGTGTAGCTGTCTGATACTCTGATTCAGTTGCTTAGCCTGTGTGATGTCAAACCCTTTGGAATTAAGGTAAAAACCCCCAGAATTAAGGTGGAAACCCCGGAATTAAGTTTCCCTGGTGTGCCCCAGCCCTGGACTTTCGTGGCCTGTTGTATTGGCTGGTTTAAGCCGTGGATTGCTGTCAGATTTTGGGATATGCCAGGGATCAGACTGGAAGGCGTTTGGCTGGAAGAGCTGTCAGAGAGACTTGGTTTCAGTTTGAAGCCACGTGTGCCAATCCTGATCCTTGTGAGCTTTCACAAGCTCAGACCTTGTGTGCCCATCCGTACAGCTTCTCCCTCATCCTTTTTTCCCTCCTCATCTGAAGATGGCTGGGTTTGGAGAGCTGTTTTTTTAAGATGGAATATGTCTTCTGAATCAGCTAGAGGGAGAAAACATCTGTTAAACATCAGAATAAGTTTAGGTTGTGAATTACTGCATTTCTAATGATGACAGAATCCATGGAATCGTTAGGGCTGCTCATTGAGTCCAGCCATTCTCCCGTGTCCCCAAGTGCCACGTGCACAGGACGTTAAATCCCTCCAGGGATTTAAAAAAAAATCCTCTGCAGGGATGGGGACTCCAGCACTGCCCTGGGCAGCTGTGCCAGGGCTGGACAGCCTTGCCGTGAAGAAATTTCCCCAATATCCAACATGAACTTCTCCTGGTGCAATTTGAAGCCATTTCCTCTCGTCCCACCACTAGTTACCTCTGTCACTGTTAGGTCAAATTTTAGAGCTGTAAATAGCCTTTAAACTGTTTTTTCTAGTGTTGGGGCTGTGGTTGGTGCCACTCCCTGCTCTTACAGCTCGGTTTTAGAACCTGCACGAGGCGCCCTCAGAAGTGCAGCAGCCTTTGAGTGATCCAGATCTCTGCCTGTTGCACTGGCAAAGGCACAGTGATACTCTTTGATACTTAATGTATAACTTAATGTTACAAATGAGGTTTTTTTCTCAAAATTGTGGAGTCACCGAATGGTTTGGGCTGGCAGACGCTTTAGAGCCCATCCAGTTCCACCCCCTGTGGTGAGCAAGGACACCCATCACTACCCCAGGCTGCTCGAAGCCGTGGCTGCCTAATGATGGAGAGCAGAAATACTTTAAAAAGCAGTTATTAGAAAACTTGCAGGCACAAGTTAAGCCTGTTAAGCATTGTGCCAAAGTTCCTTGGCTTGGTGAACTGGGAAAACATGAACTGTTATCCCAGGAGTTGAAGCTGCTGAAGATAAGAGAGAGAGATTTTTCTTTTCTGCCAAGAACTTCACCCCAGTATATAGTGGTGCCTTCTCCATGTCCCTGTTGAAGTGAAAGCAGTGGTCTGGGTGTTGTCTCTTCAGGTTTTCAGTGTGAAAGAGCTCTGGAGAGTTCTGGGGTGGGGACTTGTGCTTTCTTTTTGAAATCCCAAATGTATTTGCCTCCTGCCGCAAGGAGAACACGGGAGGAGCCAGAGTGCAGTGCAGCGTGTGAGGATGTCAGCCCAGCACCGTCCCATGGCAGCTGGACTCCCAGCTGGGAGCTGTTGTGTCCTGCAGGGCGGTGTTCCCTGGGGTCCCTGAGCCACCAGGGCCACGGAGCAGGCTCGGCTCAGTGCTCTGGGAGGGGAGGGGAGGCCGGGATCAGCCGAGGCTGGGTGGCACCCAGCCAGGTCAGGCTGGCCTGGCACTGGCACAGCAGGGCAGGGCCAGGCAGTGGCTCTTGGCAGGGACATCAAAGGAAGAGTGGGAGGAAGCAGGAGTCTGTCCCAAGGGCCAGGAGGAAGCACCTGGCACTGGGTGTGGGTGGGAGTGAGGGGCTGCGGGTCAGGGGCTGCCAGAGCATTTCTGTAGCTCTCTGGTGCTGCTGGGTGTGTTTGAGCATCTCTAGTGGGGACTGAGTTGGTACTGACAGGAATTCTTGTCTTTGCTTTAGCCTGATGTTGAGGGCACCTTTTAGCACCTGTTTATTTCACAAAGAATTTACTGACTTGTACTGATTAGGAAAATTGAATGAATTTAGGGACATGGGTCCATGGTGGCCCCGGCACTGCTGGGGTAGCTTGGACCTGATGGTCTCAGACAGCTTTTCCAGCCTAAATGTTTCTATGAAATTTGAACGTAATTCTTCATTTAGAGTAAACTTCCACTGGACTCCTACAGGAAAACTGTAATGATTCACTTTTATACCTCAGTAGCTCCCTGCAATAGTTTTTTAGAAACCCACAATGATTTGTATGTGCAGATGTGAAAATCTAAGACTGCTGTTAATCCTTTTATTGTTGAACCAGGCTGATGTGTGAGGCAGGTGTCATTGGGGTTGTGGTGAAGTACAGGGATGCCTGGAGCCACTCTGAGCTGCGGATCAGAGCCGGCTGTGCCCCAGGGGTACTGAAAGGTGCTGTTCCTGCAGGATCCAGTCGCACAGCGGTGCCATGGAGAACGCGGAGAGCACGGAGGAGGAGCAGCCAACTGTGGGCAATGAGAGCGCGGAGCCCAGCGCCGAGAGCGCGGCCGAGGAGCAGCACATGGACTTCAGCACCGAGATCATGAGTGTCACCGAGATGGAGCAGTCCCCAGACAGCTCCCCAGACCTCAACGAGGACAACACGCAGGAGAGCGAAATTCCAAACATTGAGAGCTTACAGACCACAGATATCGAGGCTGACTTCCCTCCGGATTTTGACAAATTTTGGAAAGTAGTAGAGGACAATCCGCAGGATTTCACAGGATGGGTTTATCTACTGCAGTATGTAGAGCAGGAGGTTAGTACCTGCCCCTTTCTCCTCAGTCTGCCCGAAATAAATAAACAAAGAAAACTAAAGCCATGGAATTCCAGTGGCAAATGGACATCAAGCTGTCACAAACACTGATTTAAGGCAGCTGTCCATGCCACTGCTGCCATTTAATCATAAAATGCCAGGATGGTTTGGGTTGGAAGTGACCTTAAAAAGCTCATCCAGTTCCACTCCCCTGCCATGTTCAGGGACACCTTCCAGTAGCCCAGGTTGTCAATGTCAAAATAGCACTAGGCATTTCTAACACCGTGTTAATAAATGTATTTAAAATAACCTGAAGCTGTTGCTAAGGGAAGCACTGATTGTGCTCGCTGTGTTTCCCACAGAACCACTTGCCAGCAGCCAGGAAAGCCTTTGACAGGTTTTTCTCACACTACCCCTACTGCTATGGGTACTGGAAGAAGTACGCGGACCTGGAGAAGCGCCACGACAACGTCAAGCAGTCAGACGAGGTACGTAGGGCCCGGGGCCAGCACTGCCACCAGTCCCAAAGCCAACAATGACTGTCCCACTGCGAGTCATTGGGCTGCCAGTGCCTGCCCTGCACGGCCAGGGCTCGAGGGACGTGTTTGCACGTGTCACAGCTGTGGCATTTGGAGCTAATGTTCTCTCTCTTTGTTGGCAGGTGCGTT